TGCAGGGCCAAGTTATTGCTGGAATATACAGGTTTACACGGGGAAACCTGCAGACAGTGTTCCTGAAAAGAATCAAGTGAGGTTTGTGGTTCTGGAGATCAATTGGATCTCTGAATTGGAGGTCTGAATGGACATAAGATGATAATTTCTTCATCACCTGAAGTCTTAGTAAGAAGCTGCGTCAGACACGTGTACTTTGGGGATAATTTCCTCCGTACACAAATAAAATATTCTCAGTTAAAACAGGTGTTATAACTGACTGCATAAAAATTTGAAAATGTATCAAAACAATTGTTCTTTGTAACTTTGACCCAAAGTGGTCTGTGATCAACAGTATCCTATATTTTATCCGATTATTGCTTATAGTCAAAATAATCCTGAAATTATCCCTTTTAGAACCCGAATTCAAGGCATATAAAGTCAGAATATTGACACATACAGGGCATAAATTACAAACACATGTTCAAAAACTGTAATGTCCATAACAACTTAAGTTGATAAAAAGATCAACACAAGAAGTAGCGATAATATAGCTATTATAGTCTTTATGAATAGTCTTAAAGGAACAGACATTTTTGGGACTCATTGTTGTAAATGTTCCTGTCATAACACCATACTAAGTGTGAACCTAGGAAACAAAATATGTTTGGTGGCCAAAGTTACAGTATTTTCTTTCTTTTGAATGGATAAGTTCACATACACATGCTTCAAACAAGCTCATATTAACATGTGTTATTTACAATAGGATTAAAAAGAGCTTCATAAGTTTGTAAATAAGATGTTTCTTCCAAAAATATTTTAATCAACTCCATCAGAGAATTTAAATATTAGTGAAAACTTGGTAATAAAGGGATTCACGGACTTTAATTATACCACTGAATGATGTGGCCACACTTACTGGTCTGGGTACACGAGTGGGAGGAGAAAGACCAACATCATAATGGGCTGAGCTTCACCTGCAGTGAAAAGCTGTATCCGTATATATGTATATGTAAGATGTTGGAGGACAATGAGAGTGATCTGAGGGAGAAGAAGGCACTGCAAAGGGAATGAGACTTTAAGCTACAGTCTGAGGCTGACCTGAGCATTTGCATTAACAGTCTAAATAACAGTTTGATTACAATTTTTAAAGCATTGTATCCAAGAATGGCAACTTCTTGGGGATTTACACTTATTCTGTGCATGCTGCTGATGGCGTGTGGAAGCTTGAGCCTGGCTAGTGAAGAACCCCGAAATTCTCAAACAGACAATGGGACGGGCTCAAACTCTAACACAACTGAAGAGGGTGGTCATGGAGCGGTGCCCATCACTACACTGCCTATTGTGACCTGGAAGTGGCATCACATCACCACACAGTACCTGGTGGCCCTGTGGATCCTGGTTGCCTGGCTCTGCAAACTCAGTAAGTCTTGCAAAGCCAAATTGATGGAAGTGCTCTTCTTCCAGCATTATAAACACCTCTGCACCCAAGAAATTTTGTAATTTTTAAATATGTATTTTTAAATATGTGTGTAGTTTAGGGTTATTCTGATCATCTATTTTTGTCACTGGCTCATTTTCTTAATTGTTTTAATTATTTCTCAAGGAATAAAAATAGTTATGAAAAAAGAGTGTGTAAGTTCCCTTATATTCGAATACGTCCAAATCTTATATCACAAGGGAGTTCAGGGTCACCTGATCCAGGCCTAACAGTATGCTTAGCAAAATGGAAAGTTTTAAGCTTAATCTTAAAAGCAGACAAGGTTTGCTACAGGCTCTCCCTCCCATTCTATTTTTAAATACTCTAGGAACCACAAGTAAGCCCACTGTCTGAGAGCAGAATGTTCTAATGGGGTTATATGGTACTATAAAGTTATTAAGATAAGATAGGCCTGATTATTTAAGACTTTGTAAGTAAGGAGCAGGATTGTGAATTCACTTCTGGATTTAACAGGGAGCCAATGAAGAGAAGCCAATACAGGAGAAACATGCTCTCTCTTTCTAGTCCCTGTCAGAATTCTTGCTGCAGCATTTTGGATTAGCTGAAGGCTTTTCAGGGAGTTTTTAGGACATCCTGATAATAATGAATTACAGTAGTCCAGCCTGGAAGCAATAAATGCATGAACTAGTTTTTCAGCGTCACTGTGAGACAGAATGTTAAAAATTACCCCAAGGTTGGTGGCCAAGCTAATGTCATCCAGAGTAAGCATCTGGTTAGATACCATATTTCTATGATTTTATGGCAAAGTACAATAACCTAATTTTTCTTTTAATTTAGAAGCAGAAAATTGGAGGTCAACCAAGTCTTTATCTTTAAGACCTTTCTGCAGTTTGTGTTATCTGGCCTCATGGATAGATAAAGTTGGTGTTTCATGTGCATAGCAGGGACAATGTAAGGCATGCCTTTTAATGATATTGCCTAAAGGAAGCATGTTGATCATATTCAGGATTGAAATATTAATTAATGTTAGGACTTCTTTGAGCAGTCTTATAGGAATGGGGTCTAAAAGACATGTTGATAGTTTGGAGGAAGCAATAAGTTAAGTTAACTCAGAAAGATCAATTTGAGAAAAA